AAAAACCCGTTAAAACTTTACTTCATGAAAAGAAAATTGAGCTATTAAGACTCTATATTCCTGTTCAGCATGAAGAATTCGATGTACTTCAACGTTTTCTGAAGCTTCTTTGTGTTTCCGTACCGCAGTTTTCTAGGAGGATTTCTGGAAAACTGAGGTAAAAAATGGAAAGTGTCGAGGATAGTTGTATGGGCAAAGTTACAGATCTTACTAAGGAGTTCCTATCTTGAAAAATCTCGAAAATTTTTCGGAGCATTTAGGAGAAAAGCGAAGTCAAAATTCAGAAATTTTTTAAGTAAATTGAGTACCATTCGAATGTAAAGTTAGATCGAGACCGAATTCCATCACCATTAGAATCAACTCGTCAAGAGCTACAATTTGATGTATAATTATGCAATGTTTCATTCATCTTCATCGACTTCGGTTTCACTCTCACCAAAAACTTGAGGTGTCTAGAAAACCACTTTCCACACGTTTTTTCAAAAAGCATAAGCGAGACCTTTAGATTATTTTTGATGCTCTACACGATGGGCATAGTGGAATCTTCGCGGGTAATAGTGATTGTAATAGGGGGCGGACGTGCGCGGAAGAACCCAGATTGACAGAAATAGGTAAGAGTTTTAAACGTGGAAAAAAATTCAGTGTAAGTTAGTGGATTAGAACAAAGCTCGCACTGCTTCTCCTGACGACAGTGAAATTACATAATGAACATAATCTTGCTAACGGACATGAGAAGCGAGAGTACAATCGAGATACATAGATGAAGGAAAACTGCTAAAAAAACGAAAGAAGGTAAATTCCCACGCACATATTCGAAGACATCATACTGGAAAATAAACAAGACAAATGATATTGTATCACAGCTGATGGTTACTCCTAACGCATCATTAACAATCGATACACACGCCAATAAATTGAAAGTTTCATGGTTAATTACTTGTAGATGTTCAGAAAAACAGACAAGTCCTCAGACCCGCTGTTGACCACTGCTAGATCCAGTTTGGGATCATTGTTGAAATCACCTGATATTACAGAATGTGGAGTGCTACCAACCGTATAGTTTATTTGAGTCTGAAAGGTTCCATCCCTTTGCCAAACAGCATAGCAACGTGGTTGTCTTGTTGGCTGGCTACTGCCATATCTAGTTGTATGTCGTTCCTGAAGTAGCCCGTTGCCACAGAATATGAACTGTAGCCGGTTTTATGGGGGCTCGATACTGAATAAGGAATTACGCACACAAGTTCTGAAGTAAGACAAGGTTGAAATAGGGATTGCTCTGCAAAAATTAGCGGAGAGTAATAGACCGATGCGTCCATTTATTAACATCACTCACTACGTTTTTCTAGTTTTTTGGTCTAGTATAACATTTCAAGAAGCCTTCTGATTCATGTATCCCATAAGAGGGTGTGATCAGTTAAAAATTCAGAAAGGGCTTTCAAGTCATACACCGTAAAGAGGTTTGGAAATTCGCAACGAACCAAATTCTTATATAGGGAGCGTGAATTAGAAGAGTTTCTGAGAGGTTATTTAACGATGTTCATAGGCGGATAGGAGAGTTCATATGTCTCGCTGATGTTTTAGCCGATTAAGACGCTTCAAATTCATCACCTGCTCTCCTCCTAAACATTAGAGGAGGCCCTTTACTATTGTTATTAGCTTACTACACAATAACAAGTAATAACAATTATCACTCACTTCTAGTAATAAGAATTACTAATTTTATTGTTACTTTTTATTTTATTACTGGTCGCTTCGTAGTAGGTAAGAAAATCAAAAAGTAATAAAAGTAATAAGTAATAAGCGCGGGATGAAGTATTTAGTAAAAACAATACATCGTTATATATTTTACTCCGAACAAATTTTACATCATAGATCTTGGTCATTGGTCGCGTTTGTGAGTCGTCAATTCGATCAAAGTTCTTTTGCTCAATGCACCGACTGGGGAAGCCATCGTCTGAATGCACACGAAAACAAGCTGTATCCAACAACCATCAAAATCCCTGAGTTCAATTCAGAAAGTATTTGTAAATACATTCATCGTGTAGAGCAAACATTTTTGACGACAATGAAACGTCTTCGAACTCTTTGCCAGCTCAATAACTTTTAAAACCAGAGTGTCTGGAAAACCTGATCCTAGAAAACCAAGTCCCTGAGCTCAATTCAGAAAACATTTGTGAATAAAATTATCGTGTAGAGGAAACATTTTTGAAGAAAATGAGACGTCTTCGAGCTTTTTCCGACACTTTCTCTTAAAGCAGCATTCAATTTATGGAAGGTCTAGCAAAAACCAACGAGAAAACAAGAAGGTAGATGCTAAGGGCCTTCCGCAAACAGAATGCTACTTCAGGAAAAATGTCGGAAAGAGCTCGAAGACGTCTCGTTTTCTTCAAAAATGTTTGCCCTACACGGTGAATGTATTTACAAATGTTTTCTGAATTGAACTCAAAGCTTGGTTTTCTGCGATTTGGTTTTCCAGTTACCCTGGCTGACGAGAAATCGCAAAATTTAGTTCATCGCAGAATATGTGCTAACGTTACGTAGACAAATAAAAGTTTGACTGCCTCTGACGTTACACTGAAATCCATGAATTGAGAAATTTACTGAATGTTGAGTTTTCATTAGTGTTGATGTTTGCACGGAAGTAGCGTTAGAATACTGAAATGTGCAATGTTTTTGCGCTCTATACCTAAAAAACACACCTGCAGATCTTGATCCCAAAACAGAACTGACAATGACTGCCATGATGAGCACAATCACCAGTAAGCTGATTGGACTGATGAATCTCTTCTTTTGATACCAGTGACGTCTTGGAAATGTGATGAAAAGCATCGTCAAAAATACAAATAGATGAAAACGAAGTTAGACTTACTTGATTTTTGGATAAAGATATGCACCTAAACAAGGAAATACTTCAGTTTAAAAGAAACGATTAAAGTGTTCAAAATATCTTCGAATGGAGGCTCTAGTAGCATTTCTTCCGATATTATCTGTTACAAATGGATGATGTGGAGATCAGGCACCGGATTGAACCACCCTGTGAGGACCGGGCAGAAGAAGAATTTCATCTTCGGTAATGAAATGCGAATGAGCTTGTACTGTTCGACCGTTAATGGCTTCGACGGAGAAGAGCGTCCGCTCACCCGTATTGCCTAAATATATGTTGCTCTCGAGCACGGTCAGTGCAGTTGTGCATGATGAAAATGCCCACCATGTCACCAGGGTGTCGGGTGGAAAATCTGCGCTCAAATCTTTGGTTATCCCTCGCCAGATCGTCAGCTGTGGGACGCATGATAGTTTGGACAGAGCAGTCAAGAACAGTTTCAGATACTTGAAATAGCGTCGAAGATCCTCGCGATCCGCCGTCTTGAGGGTGTAATTGAGTATCGAATAGAGACTTCGGTGCGGTCCTTCCCATTCGATCGTGTAGAGCCGAATTGCAGCACTCTCGTCAATCGTCAGTCCATCAGGTGGCTCTTCTAGGTTTCGTCGAGTGCCATTTGAACATAAAACGATAAATCGGGGATGACGTTGGTCAGCGGAGCACATGCTTTCGAAAGTGGCAACAAACGCTCTTCGGCGTATCCTACAATAGAACCATGGTTCATTTTGATATCGTTGATGATGTTCGTAGTTGTCAGATTTTGTTCTCCAGTAATATCTACTACGACTCGACGATTTCGATTGACGGAATCGCCAGTTGTATTATCATCTTCCTGCGCTGCTACTATCACTTGCCTCTGATCAACTGTTTCTTCTACAACCAACTTTAGATGCAGCCTGTCAAACTTGCGTGGTGAATCACTCTTGATCTCGACGTCTTTGCTCGTTACTTGTGATCGATCGGTTGTCTGTCCGTCATCAAGTGTAATTGCTGTTTGCTCGTTCAACGTCGTCATCTGTCACTACCACTTGTCTTTTCTTTTTATGATCTTTCACCTTTTTTTGCTTTGTCGATGGCCATCGATGCTTAAAAATCAAAGAACAATTATTTTTCAGTGGCAACAAAGATCAATAGTTATTGGTACCTAAGAATGATTGAGAAATCATTGAAAGGGCAAGGGTGAATTCCAGTGCGTCAATCGTACAAATTGTCCTAGTGAGTTTCAAGACTTTTTGAACGTCTTCTAATAAAAAGATTTATAAACCGGTAAGAAAATGTTTCTAAGGCTCCAATTTCTAAACATAACAAACGAATAAACGCTTTTTCACTTTCTTTTTTAGAATTTATGTTGAAAAGCTAGTAAAAATCGAAAAAGGTGTTCTGTATTATTTTCCAGCGGAATAAATTGTAGAGGAAGAACGACCGGATCAGTACATATTTTACAATTCTCTTATTTTTTGAATGATCCAACGTACAGACCAGGAAGACATCTCACTTTGTAGACAACTGTTTTCTTTATCAGTAGTATAGATCACTGTGCTTTAAGAACCATCTGAATTGCTTCGAATTACCACAGTTAATTCAAAAATATTTTGTGTACTTATATCAGAAACATTTGAATAATGGTTCCCGTACATCTCGATGTAGACTATCAAATATATTCATTTCTAAGCATATCGATTCGGCTAGTAGAGAGGACGAGTGTTTTTAAGTTTACAACATTAATCTTCGCTTGAAATACCCTCCGTTTTGATGTACTAAACGTATAATAATTCAACTATATCATTGAAGAAAGCTCATTTTAGAGCGTATATAATAAGAAAATCTAAATTGCCAAGGGCAACGAAGTAACTTACGAAAAGACTGAGTTATTTACAGTTTTCTAAGAGCTTTTTATTAATTTTTTTTTATATTAAACTACTTAAATCTTTCTCACGAAGAAAAAGGCCCATGAAATTCTCGCCAAAATGTGTGTGAAAGAAACGGATAGCAAACTGTCGATGCAAAGCTTAGAACACCAGTCTCTTACCACGAAATGGTCACTTCAACTCTCCTGTATCGATTATTTAATAATTCAAACAGAGAACTATTCGCGTAATATGAGTAAACAGTTCTCCTTCAAATAAAATAACCCCGGGTTCTGTACCGTGAAATATAACGAAAAAGAATTTGCACGGGCAGAGGGTGCATTTTGGGCCTTGGTCTCTAGAAAACTCCTGAACGCTGACGTTTGGCGCCGTAAAAAAATTTCGTAACTTCACTTTTATGTGTCCAACATTTGTGGAACGTTTTATGGAAATCTGATGCACTGTATCGAAAATCGATTTGGGAGGGGGCTAGCCTTAGGTGTATGACCAAGCGTTGATTGGTCGTAAATTTTTCCATTAAATAGCACTGCACACTTAAGTGTATGACCCTTACGTACAACGGGTTACACACTTTTCTATATTACTTTTCGCAGGAACATCTGTTTTTTTTGTTTACCGCCACGTAAGAAATTATATGTTAATCGTAATAATCATTTACATAATTTAGAAGATAGATAAAAACAAAATAGTATAAATTTAAATGAGTTTTTGTGTCTAAAACAATAAGTATTAAAAAGTTTTGATCTTTTTTGCCAACTTTTTTTCAAGACTATATTATAGGCATGGTCATTTTGGATTGTTATCTGTTTAACTACTAGAAAAATCATAAAAATTGGCTCATGCCCATTTTGCAAGCAATTTTATTTTTGATTGTTTTATGATATCCCAAATTGCAAGCAGGAACTTTTTTTCAAACGTTGTCCAGTTCCCATTTTGCAAGCATATTATCTAATAGAAAGAAAGAATATATATTATAAATGTAAACGTTCTCTGATTAATAAATGTGTAGTGACGGACAGACAGGTGATTACAAAAGAAATGAAAAAAAGATGTATCACAGAATCCATTCCTGTAACACAAATATATGAAGAACAGTTGTGTAAAGCTGTGTCGCAAAGCATGAACATCAATAGTAGGTTTATCACCACCACTAAGCATATTTTGTTATTAAAGACAGGTTCTTCTCTAGACATACATTTTGATTCAGTAAAATCAGCAGCAAACTGCCTACCGATTCATACATAACGTTGGTGGAAAAGACGCGAAGTAGTACATATTGTTTTGTTATACTATACATTTATCGTTCTAATATATACATTTTTTTTGTTAATTACTTGCTTGCAAAATGGGAAATGTAGAAGGTGTGCAAACAGTAATTTGCTTGCAAAATGGGAAGCAACCTAAAAATTCTATAATTTCAACCATAATTCCATGCTTTACAACGGATAAAAAAAGCTGTCGACAAAACAAGGATGAAGCTTAATTGACTCTAAACATAGTGTCGACAAATCGAGCAAGAAATTAGTGCCGACCAAACAATAATAATTTAATTAAGAATTTCTACAGAAAACTAATAATAGGGATGATCTGTCTAATTGTGATATTATGATCTCATTTTCATTTTTGAATCTATTGAATCCAGAGGCAAGTTCTATTTCTTTTCAAATACTACATTGCTTTATATAAAACAAAAATGTATAAGTGTATACATATCATTAATAGTAAGACAATTTTTAGTTATTATCTTCGTTTTCTGACGCTGATTCTGCTGATGAGCGTTGATCATTATCGAGTGTCTCTTCATCATGATTCGAATTGTTTGCTGTTGATTTTGTAGTAGACATAACTGCTGATGTTAAATTGAGCGGTGATGTATGTATGCGAAGATGATTTGTCAATTGTGAATAATATTTAAAATTTTTACCACAATGTTGACATGAATACATTTTTGAACCTAGAAGAGATGACTACAGAACTTATATATTTGTTTCAACTATGTGTTCCTTTTTAATAGAAATAATACGAACCAATATGAATTGTTGAATGTATTTTAAGTTCATATTTATGTTGAAATTCTTGTTGACATATTGTACAAATGAAACATGCACCGGTTTGTGAATGTGTACGCATATGAGCATGTAAATTGGATGCACGATTAAATGCTTTATTACATGTCACACATGAATAAGGTTTAGCTGCTGTATGAGTTAATTTGTGACGAGTTAAATTGCCCGGTTGACGAAATGCTCTCATACATATTTCACATTTAAACGGTTTTTCACCCGTATGAATACGCTAAAATAGGAAAATATTTAAAGTAAAATGGTGACAATTAATCGAGTTTTTTCATAAAAGTTATTGCAGAACACTCGAACTATTGATAGTAGCCCTTGTACAAGTGATATAGTCTACTTCTTTTTTTTCTCCTACTGTGAGATAAGTTTTTATACAATCATAGTTATACAGATATATTGCCTTCACAGTGATAATCTGTAAACTTTATTTTCTTTTTTTGATGCCGACGCGAAAATTTTTAGTGTTATTTCACACTTGATCATATTAGAAGAAAAGAGAGAGAGAAAGAGAGGAAGGCACGTGTAGAAACTCATTTTAAATTGATATTATTAACAAATATTTTTTTAGCGACATATGTCACCAGAAACATCTATCGCTAAAACATCAAAGTAATAGAGAAAAAATGTGCCAAGGTAAATTAATAATAGAACAATCAACAACAATCAAATAACGCGTATTTGAAAAAAAAAATCAACAAAAATTTCAAACAATAGGTGTTTTTTAACTTGGACACTTTATCATTATTCAATACTCGAGTTAGAACACGAAGTTTCATTCCATACATTATATTTTTAAGGTAAAATCAAGAAGCAAGAATTGGATAGTGAAGTGAGTAAGTTTAATCAAATTATAAATAGTACAATGTTTGATTTTAATTGTGTAAAACTAGTTTCATCATCAGATCAAACATCAAAACTTTGCTTATAATAATAAGCTGCATCATTTTTCTCTTGAACGACAGGATTATACGATATTTTACATAGTCAATAATCTGTTTCATGTCGCATGTATAGATCATTTTTTTCTTTTCATTATTGTATGAAAATACTCAACATGTATCGAACTCTTCTTCATTCTGTCTCTATATGTATGTCCTTGCCTTGGTTTTTTTCTATTGTCTACTTTTTTTCGTTCGGTTCAGATTTTAATTGGTGAAAAAGAAAACAAGCAAAGTGCCAATAAACGAATAGATTGACTTATGTGAGACATAACATGTTTCCTTTTATCACCCAATCTATGCTTTTATGAAACGGAAACAATCTGTCCCGATTAATGATAAAAAAGAATGACATGTTGTATCAAACAGAAGAACACCAATGTACGTGCTAAGTTAGCAAAAAAGTTTGGGTATAACGAAAACATTGCGGAAAAAGGAGGAGTAAAAATAGTGGCACCATTTAAAGACGTGCATATGTCGATAAAAAAAAAATCTCATCTTTTACAATTCTTTCATTTAAGTTTGATACGGAATTATGTGTAATGATGCAATTGATTTTATATTCATGTGATAAAATTTTGCTTTCAACGACGTGAACTACTCTTAGAAAAAAATTCTTTTAGAATCCACGCGTGAAATCTACTAGTGTCCACAGCCTATGCGCATTGTCTAAAATGTCCGTTTTGAAATCCACGGTTATTCATGCGTAATGAATAAAAATGTGTCCCCACCTGAGCACCAGTGATTATACAAAACAAAGATTCCACGTGTCATTAATAGTAGAAAAATTGAGTGAAGATGAAGAAATGAAAGGAACTTTCGTTTTCACGCGCGAGCATTCGTGAACATATTTTTATTTACAAACGTTCGCTCTTTAAAATGTCGAATTTGAAATTCACTCGTAAACATGGCGCGGATGTGGAGAATGTATCACAAGGATAAGAGAAGAGCAATATTAATCACACTAGAAAAAAAGAACTTTTGGACTTTTTAGTAACGAATCGTATCCTTAAGAGAAAAAAAGGTGCTATAGATTTCCGTCATGGGTGGGTCATCCTGCTCTGTAATACTCTCTCTCTGAATAAATTCTTGTGTAATTTAAACACGTTAGATCACGTAACTTAGAAATATGATGTAAAAAGATTTGCTCATAAGAAATAAGGGAATGTTTTGAATTGAAGACATTCTAATTAAAATCGAACGTTAACTAACCTTGTGTGTAACAAGTGTGTTACTTCTTGAAAATGCACGCTGACACTCATCACATTTATATTTTTTAACATTTTTTGGTTTTCCATCATTTCTTATTAATCCCATGAAAGCTGATGACATTGAATTTGGAGTTGTCGGTAAAAATAAATTGTTATTTGTTATTGCGTATTGATGATAATGGAGTTGTTGTTGTTGATCCGAAGGAATAGGTGATTCTTGCTTTGTCAACATCTTTTTTGGTGGTGATGATACACTAGAAGGTGGTGGTCTTGATGTTCGTTTTTGTGGCGATGGTGGTGAAGTAGAGGATACCAGTGGAGGAGGCTGTAATGGCATTTGAGATGGAAATGGATAACGTGACATTGCACCATCATTCATGAATCGAGAAAATTGTCCGATAGCTGCTGCTAAAAATGGCGATGGTGGTGGTGGAAAGAGTAATTCAGGACGAAGAAAGGGTGCAGTCGAATGGTATGGAAAGACTGCTGCAGCTGCTGCTGCTGTTTTATACCAACTTGACGAAAGTAAATCAAAAGGATTTAATAGTGGCGGTGTGTGTGTTGTAATTGTTGATGTTGTTGAAGTAAAAATTTTACTATTTCCATTTCCATTTGTAGATGTTGAATTATTATTTCCAAGAATAAATGGTAAATCATTTTTATCATCGGATTTGTGTTCTTTTTTTACAGAAATACGACGAAATGCTGATTGAGTTGATTCAGAAAAATGATGACCATTACTCTCATCTTTTGTCACTGAACCTAAATGAAAATTTATTTATAAAAATTTCTTAAAACAAGTTTTTTCTCATAGAGAGGAGATAGATGAGTATTTAATAAACACAAACGTCAAATAGTTACCTTTCATAATTTGGATCTTTATCACCTTTTTATTCTAAACGATTTTATCTAATTCACTTAATAATTATCAGTACAACGATGTGTTTGTTTGTTGGGTAATATTACATGACTGTTAAATGTTAAGTGATTTTTTTTTCTTTTTTTTCATTTTTCTCCTTCTCTCTCTCTCTCTCTACCTGTTTTTTCCTTTCTATTTACACATAATGTGTGGATTACGTGACATGAACATGTTTCAAACAAATGTTCAAACGTTAGAAGAGAGAGAGAGATTGTTTCATTTCTGATAGGAAAATGAAGAAGATTAGTAATTAACAGTAAACGAGGTCAAAATATATAGATCAAAGACAAATTGTCGTCACTCTTGAAAAACCAATCTTCACCATACAGAACAAGACGATTATCGAAAGGATTTACTCGTGGGAGACACACTCAGTTGGGGTTGATATTTGATAGAGAAAAAATGTCTGATGATTTTTGTTTGACATGAAATAAGAGAAAATCGGTCAATTTAACCGTATTATGTTGTTTTGAATATGGATTTTTTTTCTACTGATACTACTTATATTAGAAGATCAATGACTTGACGTTTTTAAAATTGATTTGTTGTTGCTTTAAATGTAATCAAGCAAAATAAGTTAAAAAAATCAAGACACATGTGGCTAATAATAGAGAGACCGTTGAATCAACGTTATAAAAAAGTTTACATAATATTCCATCGACCAATGACGCTCATGATACTCAATCGATGTTGACTTCTGTGATTATTATCACTACGACTTTAAACCCATTCCAGATAAAAAGTATCTTTATTACAATTTCAATTAAATCCGTTTACGTTATGCTGAGAAAAGTAAGGTGAAACAATAAGTAACCTATGAATAGCCAGGATACTTTCTATTGGCTAACGAGCCGAGTGCATCATAATATATTTATTCTTTTTTGAAATCATTACATTCTATAACGAAAGATTTTGTTGAAAATGATAAGATCACGACACAGTATAAATGTAAATGAGTATAGGGGCAAATGAGTTGCAAGGAGTACATAGATCAGAGATGTCTTATAGACCTAACAGGGGAGGGAAATTTATTGACAAAGCTATTCTTCGAGTAAATTAGTCCTTTGAAGGATTAATTTACTCGGAGAATAATTCGACATACGGAAAAAAGTTTAAATGACCTGTGGTGCAAAAATAATTGCCGAAATCTTCAGTCATGGTTCTCCGCTCGGAAACATCGTAGAAAGTTCATTCTTTTTCTAGTTGAAAGAGCAACGCCTGAACTTCAAAAAACATAGGAAACAAAATTTTTAGGATTGGCTTTGAGGGAGAAAAAGGTACGATACCAAATCTCGTTAAAAAAGCTATTGCAACTTTTATCGTCTTCAAACGTATCTCGCTCATCAAATCTATTTTTCCCTATAACAGAATACGTTTGAAATTATATAATTATAGAAACTAGAAGTGTTTTAATCACTCTTTCAAATGGGATATGGTAAATTATGCTTTGATCCACTTTTCGACCGAAACTTTCCGAGTTTTTCATTAGTTTCAAAAAACAGCTAATTAGACTTAATAATTTTCAGATACTGAACGAATTTTGCTCCTTTTTCTAAAACACATTTTCTAGAACAGAATGCAATTCTCTACAAATTCACATTAGTTTTAACCTTTACTAACATGTTTAATGCCCCGAACAACGAATTTTTCTCCATGTCCCATCTTTCCCATGCAAAGTAGTGCTGACTATCATAACTAAGACTTATAATGCGCTTTATTTACCGTTAAAAAATTACTGAGAAACTTCTTAAAGTAGGGAAGTCGAGAGAGTTTTGTACGGGCTACTTTCTCATCTATTTGGTTTTCAAGAAAACGTTTGTCTTCAGACTCTAGTAAAAAAATAAAGAAAAAAGTATGGTGCAAGAGGTTTTTTATCGACATTTGGTATCGTACTTTTTTCTCCCTCAAAACCAATCCTAAAAATTTTGTTTCTTATGTTTTTTAACGTTTAGGCATTGCTCTTTCAACTAGAAAAAGAATGAACTTTCTACGATGTTCTTGAGCGGAGAACCATGATTGGACATTTCGGCAATTACTTTTATTTTTAGTCTGTTTGTTGCTCATATTACTCTTATCGAAGATTAGGTTAACAGGGTTCCTAATAGCAAAAATCTAACAGTAGGAAAAATAGTAGAATTTTAAAAGCGATTTGATAGATCTTATAGAGAAAAGTAGAATGCGAAAAAGTGCCTAGAAACACTTTTGCATATTGTCACTTCAATCCAATGATATCACAAGTATAGTGTCTCTGTTTATCATACAGTACACTAATTAATTAAAAGTTACAATACGACTAGTATTTTTTCTTCAATTTCTAAATGTAAAAACATGAAATAGGAGAGACGAGGTGACATACAGTATTTTATAAAGACTTTATTTATGTGTTTTGTTATGATTTATAACACTTTTCTCTTGTGTGATATGGTACTTGAATAGATTGATAAATGGAGAAATTTTGAAAACTAGTAGTTTAATACTTTAATTATTAAATAGAAGAATGTGGGAACTAAATGTACAGTTTTGTAGAGAACTAAATTCTGCATCTTTTAATTATGAAAGCGTATTCGGAACAGATCACATAATTTTCATTATCGACAGAAATATCAAAGTAGCAAACAAATGAGAGTCATGACCATGACGTTACTAATAAACTGAAAACTTCTAAAAAAAAGAACCAGAACAATCATATCTTTCCATGTAAAATTTACTAAAAAAAGGAAAAAATCTTTGAAAGTGTAAGATAACATACGGAAATTCGGACAAAGTAGGATGTTTTTCGTAGAAAGTAGAGAAAACAGGAGAAGTAGGATGCTTACGAAGCGAGGTTAAAGATCTGGTTTGGAAGATTATAAATATTTTTCCTATTGTTTCTTTAGTCAATGGTCGAACTGTTTGGAGTTCTTGCTGTTTTCTCAAGTACTTGTTTGTGATGTTGATATGGTCGATCTTTTTCTTCAAATTTCTTGTAGTAAACTTTAAACACAAAGTTTCATATGAAGTATCCTCCAGATATTTTTCGTCAAAATTGAGACGTTTTCCACTATTATTTTCACTATTCGTGAACTCTTATATAGAAATGACCAGTATTAATGAGACTATACGACTCAAAAAGCGAATTTCAGTAGCTTCAATATTTCATAATTTTATAATTTTCGTTCTGTTGTGAATTTTTCTTCTATATCTATATCTATATATTATACATTCTCTTGTAATACATGTAAAATGCTTTTCTCTTGTAGATAAATTAGAGTGGATAAGTATAATATAAGAATTTTCTTGATTAGTCAATAAGAATTAGTATTTTTCTTTTCAACAAAATCGGATCAAGATTTGTTTTTGATTATAACCGATCATCAACTCTTATATGTATTCTGAAGTACTTTTTATTCTCTATCGAAAGATACAATAAAATTCTAGCTTGTTTTATGTATGATACATGTCGAAAATGAGAAAGTGTATATTTTACATCTTAGTACCCTGTCTTCTCTCTATAAGGGGCATTTTTGGCTTGTAGATATTAACATTTTTCGCGAATAAACGTCACTTTAGGTATGTATCATTAACATACTGCAGTCGTTAGAAGAGCTTGGAAACGAAAACTACATGTTCTCAGAAAAAAACTTTTCAAAAAATCATTCTAGAGAAAAAATTAACTCGAATGTGGTTTTTTCCATTGAAAATATATTGCTTTATACGTCAACCGATACATTGATTCCGAATATTTGGTCGATTTCGTGAGAAACTTCATCTGGAGAGAAGAAAAAGTTGAATTTATGTGAAAGATCAGAGATTTATAAAAACCTCATATTTCAGTTCAAAGGAGATGTGTCGAGATACTAATTTTGCCGATGTAAGAGACATTGAAGAATATATGTGCAACATTTGAGCCCTTGAGGATACTAGGAAAATGGTTCCACTAAGCCTTTTTATTTTAGGATCAATAATACATTTTCCACAGAGATCTTCAATCAAACTAGAAATTCGTTACACGAAACGCAAATTTTTACAAAAATCTCATTAGTCGATATTGTTTGACGAGTTGATTCCGAATATGGTATTTGTTTTGATTGAAATACTTTGGTAAGGAAAAAGGGTGACATTTTGAATAACAGTGGAGAAACACCTATGTATATGATATGGACATGACGTAGATAGAATTTTTTTCCCAAAATTTGAATATAAAATGCTAGGAAATGCGCAAATTCCTAGCAATAACAATATTTTGGGATAATCTGTTAGCATAGAAAACATCAATTTTTCCAGACATTTTAAGTTTAAATTACAAATGTTTTTTGTCAAAATGCTCATCATTGGATCAAATTTTTGTGCGTAATATCCTTTTTAACTTACAGATTCGTTAATTTACTCGTAAAGTTCGAATGTTTAAATGTTTCTATGATTTAAAGTCTATTTTTATACTTGAGTTTTTCTTAGAATTATGCACAAAAAAAGGCCGATTTGTATAGAAATAAATAGCCCACAAAATCACATATAATATCCGCTAATTAAAATAAAAACATGGCAATTTTGACTTTTTAGTAACAAATCTATCTGGATACCCATCGTGCACAGAAATGATATATAAACTGAAAATAGCACACTGTTTGTCATCCTATAACATAGTCATGGTTAGGTGGGCACCGAGCATAACCGTAATCTCCCAAAAAATGTTCAAAAAATAATAAGTAAAAAATAGATCGCATCCTGGCTAGGTGTGCACAAAAACGGAAAAAAAAATTCTATTTTTCAATAAAGATGAAAATTAAAATAGAGTTAAATTATCAGATTTTGATAAAGAAAAACTAGGATTTTCTCGCAGTCAAAAGAGAATTTTTCTGCTATACCGAGATAAAAGTGTAGAGAATTGAATCTCACACGGAAAACGATTCATCTTCAGCCCACTAATCATAAAAAAACGGCAATTAAGTGAAAAAAACGAAAGTAGCACCTTTTTCTGAGGAAAAGTAATTTAAGATTTAAGATGCTAAAAAAAGAAAAAGTACATGATTAAAGTTTCGACTCTTTCTCTCACAATTCATAATCTGATCAAAACTTTCAGTCGACGATCGCAAAACCATAATTCTCGTTTTTCTAAAAATTGCATGTTCATGAGCTAATTAGTAGATGTCAAAGTTGATCTAGAATCTAAATTTTGTAAATATCAGTTCATTACGTAAGGCGAAAGACGATATGAGGAGGCTGCGACTCAATAGCTCAGGTGATAAGAGCGTTGGCTCGGACTGTCATGGTCCTGGGTTCAAGTTCCAGTTGAATTATATTTTCTTTCGTTCAGTTCTTTAACATCTTTCCCGATTCTTATATAACAACTTTCAATTTCCTAATCTAAAGTCAATTGTTCCTATATAACAACTAATAGAATATAAATTTTCGATGATTCCGATTATCCTCGGTTACGGTTCACCGTAATCGGTCCATACCTAGGCATTGTAGTTCTTCCTCACCACTCTATGTATATTTGTTCAAATCAATAATTATAAAAAATTTAGTATCAAATATATTTAATGAAATTTAGTAAAAAAAGTATTCATTCATTCGGAAAAAAATATAGTGAACAGATTTTTTGATAAACAAAAAAAAAAACGACGAGTCTATTGATCACATTCATAATTTCATAGAAATTGCATTAAGAAAATTATATCACAATTATCATCCACTACTGTGGGATTTCAATTCGATCTTTAAATGAAAATGTACAAGAGGAGAAATTGACAGATCTTATCAAAAATAAAAGTATTCTTGAATAGCTCCTATATTTATCGAACATGTTACAAGTAGAATACACTAACTTGTTTGATCAGTGCAGAAATTATTGACAATCGTTCTTGTTTCTTGTGCTTGTATCATTTGTTGTGTTAGTTTTAGTATTCTATATCGAACTGGACAATCGCCTGTTGTACAATTCGACCATCCATTCATATGATCTGAACATGCTAAACATATTCGTTGTAAAGATGAATGTTGTCGTTCCAATTCATTTGCTTTTATTTCAGCAGTTAATAATGATTGATTTGAATTTTTTCTACATTCATCACACAATGGTGTTGTGGCTAATTTTGAACACAGATGACAACGTCTCATAAAACCATGTTGCTGTTTAATAGCTAGACGTCGTTGTTCAATTGTTGTTATCGTGTCTGTTTGTGAAATATCTTCTAACCATTTGAATACATCTACGCCTATTAGAGCAAATGCTCGATCTAATGCAGGTAAAATTTGTTTTCTCACATAATAATTGGAATTTAATTGAAAATTTGAATTAATCATTAACGCTTTATCTAATGTCCATATACAATCGATTAAATTTGCATTTGGTTGTTCTAAATTTAAACCAATTATAAATGGTACACGTTCGCCAATATTTGGTTCGGATAATGGATTTTTTGCTAAACGTTTCAAGGCAATACGAAGTGCTGGCACCGGCGCTGTTGGATGATATGATTTTTTACCACGATATTCTTTAGCAAATACAAAATCAATTAAATTTACTCGATGAGAATAAATTTTTTGACACTGTAATTGAACATATTGTTTAACTCTTGTCACATCTTTTGTACGAAATAATAATTTCAATGAACGTTCTAACATTTTTGAAACAGCTGAACATGTATCACGACGAATGGTCTCAATACCTTTGGCATCAAATTTAGGTTGAGTTTGTTCTAATGTCTCGTAAGACATTCCAGCATAACGTTTTTTGGATTCTAATACAGATGGTTGATAAATTTTTTCAAATTTAAGTTTAATTGGTGTGGGATATAACTTATTTATGGCCTTGACAAGTAGATAAGATTGTTCAAATGCTTGAGCGCGAGATAAATGGGGAAATTCAACGAATAATGAATCCTACAAATCGAAAAAATTATATAAATTAACGAACAAACAACAATATTATCTTTGATCAATAACTCTTATAGGCTAAATTTAAGACAATAAAAACGAAGGAAAGTTTTTCGAAAAACAGTTCGACTAGAATGAAGTATAGAATCGAGATCTACTATCCATTAAAAATATTCTATTGGCATACGTTCTACGTCATCCAGAGGGAAAAAGAACTTTTCTTTATTACAACACGTTTCAGCTTCCAAATAGTCGTTGTTAGTCGTCTTTCTATCTTTGTCTCCAAATTCATGATGGCGGATAGTGAAGAGATCGAATTTGAGCCGTTGTAGTGATTTTTCCATTTCTTTTTTTTGTTCTTCTTGCCTTTTACAATTGTCTTTATGGTTATTTTTTAGAATTGAAACATCGAGAATAGTCCGTTTGCGTTTTACGTTTTGCTATTTATGCAAACAGAAGCAGTATGTTTTCCTTTCAGGAACGATTCTTCTTGCCACTGATCTGACTGAATGAGACCTTTTCCTGACTTTGGTTTCTTATACACCGCTTAAATTTTCAAGTATTCAGATCAGAATGAGATGTACATGCGAATGTGGCTTAAGGGCCCCCCCCGGGTCAAAAAAAGCAATTTTCGTCAAAAATATCATTTTGGAGATTTATACATAGTTAGATAGCCCATCATCTGTACTTTCGAATGCACTATG